CACACAACCCAGTCCGTCCCGAGGTAAATTAGTTAAATCTGTTGACCTCAAAAAGGAGAAACACATACAGGGTGAAGAAGAAATCCCGGGACTGGGTTTCTTCTTCCCCCTGTAAATTTCGAAAAATATACACTTTATAAAAAAATGTTTCAGACAAAAGTTGTAACGTCGAGAAAGTTCTGTTTACCGATCTTAACAATTTGACCTTGGGTGGCGTCATCAAGGTCAAGACAAGGTCACCACGGATTTTTTAAATAGAACCCCCAATTTTTTATTGCATATTCTTATAGCCCTTCTTCAGACCTTTTCAAAGCACTATGGTTTTATCTAATTTGAATAAGCTATTCCGAAGTTATCGAATTTTTTAAAGTAAGATATCTAGCCAACTAAGGCAAGATCGGAGGATGATCCGGCCAACTAAGGCAAGGTCGTAGGATGATCCGGCCAACTAAGGCAAGATCGGGAGATGATCCGGCCAACTAAGGCAAGGTCGGAGTGACCGAGCCAACTAAGACAAGATCGGAGAATGACCCAGCCAACTCGTAAAAATAATTGCGCGACTAACATCCAGGCGTTGGCTCCTATTGGCTTGTCTTAATTTCATTGATTAATTTATTTCAGTTATTTATTTATTTGGACTATTCTGCTGTTCGATGTTTATTTCTCCCATTTACTCATTTAATACTCATTACAGTTTAGTGAGTCGCAAACTCGACTGAAATTCCTCTATTTTTTTGAAAATTATTAAGAAACAGTTTGAAGCTAGTTGTAAGCTGACTTAATTGCATTTCATTCCGTACTCATTATTATTCTTCAACATTGTCTTTAGAATAACTTTGAATTGACCCAAATATTAATTTAGTCGATTAGACTAAATCTTACCACTTCTGCTTGTCAATATGGCAAGTCTTTCAGAACGAGAACGCATATCTCTTTTGATGATGAGAGGATGGGATGATCGACTAAGGTCGTATAATCATGTGAGACGGCTATTTAATGAAACTTTTCATAATCAGGGTAATGCCATTTCAAAATCTACCATTGAAAGAACGATAAGGCGTCTTCAGGAAACTGGAAGTGTGAAAAATCATGCAATACCAGGTAGGCCAGTATCAGCAACAAGTGTAGAAAAATCATTAGATGTTCTACAATCCTTTATCGAAAATCCGCATGATTCGACCCGCAAAGTAGGACAGCAACATGAAATAGATCAAATGTCTGTGCTTAAAATATTGAAAATGAATAAATTTCATCCTTATGAGATCCATCTTGTACAAGAGCTAAATGAAGATGATTTTGATAGGCGCATTGAATTTTATGATTTGATGATGGAAAAAATAGCCGAAGATCCTAACTATCTATCAAATGTAGTATTTTCAGATGAGGCAACATTTCAGTTAAATGGCCACGTTAATCGACACGATTGTAGATTTTAGTCAGATATAAATCCTCACTGGATTGAAGAAACACACGCAGTATCCACAAAAAGTGAATGTTTGGGTAGACATTTTGAACAATGTTCTCATAGGTCCACTCTTTGTTAACGGAAATCGAACAGCAATAAAATATAAGAATATGCTAAGAAACGAAATAGTTCCAGCGATACAAGCAATCATGGATGACAACTTCGAGCATACATGGTTCCAACAAGATGGTGCCCCCCCCCCCACATTACGGAAGGGACGTCCGTAATTATGTAGATACAGTGTTTCCTCATCAATGGATAGGTAGAAGAGGACCTATAGAATGGTCTCCTCGACACCCGATTTATCACCTAACGATTATTTCCTGTGAGGCCATTTAAAAGATAGAGTTTACAAAACGAAACCACAAAATTTGGATGACTTACGAAATCGAATTCTTGATGAAGCTGCTCTCATCCCTGTTGAGACATTCAAAAAGCCGTTTCATCTTTCTACGATAAATTAGCTAATTGTCTAACTGTTGATGGCGGACATTTTGAACAATTACTTTAAAGCTTTCCAATATTGCCTTAGTTGGCCGGACAACTCCCGACTTTGTCTTAGTTGGCCGGAACATCCTACGATCTTGCCTTAGTTGGCTGGATCATTCTCCGATCTTGCCTTAGTTGGCCGGATCATCCTCCGATCTTGTCTTAGTTGGCCGAATCATCCTACGATCTTTCCTTATTTGGCCCGATCATCCTTCGATCTTGCCTTAGTAGGCCGGATCATCCTCCGATCTTGCCTCAGTTGGTCAGATCATCCTACGATTTTGCCTTAGTTGGCTGGATCATCCTCCGATCTTGCCTTAGTTGGCTAGATATCTTACTTTAAAAAACTCGATAACTTCAGAACAGCTTATTCAAATTTGTTAAAACCGTAGTGCTTTGAAAAGGTCTGAAGAAGGGCTATAAGAATATGCAATAAAAAGTTGGGAGTTCTATTCAAAAAATCCGAGTTGACCTTGTCCTGACCTTTATGACGCTACCCAAGGTAAAATTGTTAAGATCGGTAAATAGATCTTTTCCAACGCTACAACTTTTGTCTGAAACATTTTTTTATAAAGTGTACATTTTTCGAAATCTTTAGGGGTCCTGGGGTTTTTCTTCACCCTGTATAAGGGTATCCCATTTTAAGTGTCTACCTCAAATATCTCTCTTATTTTTTATTTTAGAGAAAAATGTTTCAGACACGTTTTGTTTGGTTTCGAGGGGGCCATAAGGTGGTATCATTGATTTGACCTTGAAGAGTCATTTGAAGGTCACGTGAAGGTTACCTCAATATTTTTAGATGGCAACCCCAACTTTTTATTACATATTCTTGTAGTTGACCACGAGAGCTTCCCACAACACTATGACCAAATGTTTTTTGGTAAAATACTTTTCGAGTTATAAAGCTCCAAGTTTACAAAATTTTGATAAAAATACAAAATATTTCGTTAAACATTCACTTTCCAATAGTCTTATCTTACATGATCCAACCAGTCAAGACAAGATCCGAGCATGATCCAACCAGTCAAGACAAGATCCGAGCATGATCCAGCCAGCCAAGGCAAGATCCGAGCATGATCCAACCAGTCAAGGCAAGATCTCCTTTTGTGTACAATTACTTGGAGTGTTCAAAAACTTGGTCATTTACTTGTATGCATAGCTTTAGTCTATGGTGAAAGTCATCCCTAACTTTTTCAAGAACATCTACATTAATATTTCTGCAAGCCTGTCTGATCCGGTTTTTCATATTTTCAACGGTTGTAGGCTTTTGCGAATAAACTATATTTCTAATGTAGCCCCAGAAATAAAAATCTAGGGATGTCAAGTCGAGTGATCTTGGGGGCTATTCTTGAACTCGGCTGCCCATACCAATCCACCCATTCGGGAATCTATTATTTGAATATTGTGTAACAGCTCGAGATCTACGAGCCGGTGCTCCATCTTGTTGGAACCACATTCGTCTGAGTAAATCATTGTCGACATATCTCAAGAGGTTGGGCAGGTCATCTTGAAGAAATCTTAGATAGATTGCCACATTTTGAATGAGATTTTCTTAAAAAAATATGGACCAAACAGTAACATCTCCCAGGATGCCTGCCCAAACGTTAATGGACCGCTGCCGTTAGAACTCTTGGCTTCTCTGCCAATGTGGATTAGCATCTGAATAATAGTAGCAGTTATGTCTATTAACACCTCCTCTATTACAAAATGTGGCTTCATCAGAAAAAAGCGTATCAGCAATGAACTGGGGATTTTGTTGGATTTGATCTCGAGCTCAGTTACAAAAACGTACACGGCGTTGGTAGTCCCTCTCTTCCAATTGCTGAGATAGATGAATGTGATATGGGTGAAACTTGTTGAGTTTGAGCACATGATTGGCTGTTGATTTAGATATACCGTATTGCCTCTCAATTTGTCTCGTAGAGATTTAAGGATTCAAAGCAACGGCACCTATAACAGTCAATGTGTGACTTCATCAGGGCTCGATTTTCGCCGGTTTCTTCTAAGAAAACCCTGTTCATCTCTGTCGCAGAATCTTTTTATTACTTTCCCATCAGGATGGCGTCTGTCTGGAAATCTTTCAGCATAAAGCCTTTCTGCTGCCGAGTAATTATTCCTGGCCTCACCCAAAATGCGAATCATGTCCACAATTTCATTTGGTGGATAAGCAGCCATAATTATAAAGAAAAAAAGCTCCAAAAGACAAAAAATTCCTGTCTTATCAAAAAGTCAATGGATAATAATATGCGTCTATCTGAGACTTCGCCAAAATACCGACAGTTGCCCAAGTAAGAAATTTGAAACAAGCCTCTTGATATTTGTTTCATTAAAAGAATTGACAATTGCACTTTCACAATTGTTACAGTTCATTGATTATCAGGCAATACAGGATCTCGTCTTGACTGGCTGGATCATGTTCGGATCTTGCCTTGACTGGTTGGATCATGCTCGGATCTTGTCTTGACTGGTTGGATCATGCTCGGATCTTGTCTTGACTGATTGGATCATGTAAGATAAGGCTATCGGAAAGTGAATGTTTAACGAAATATTTTGTATTTTTATCAAAATTTTGTAAATTTGGAGCTTTATAACTCGAAAAGTACTCCACCAAAAAACATTTGGTTACAGTGTTTTAGGAAGCTCTCGAGGTCAACTACAAGAATATGTAATAAAAAATTGGGGTTGCCATCTAAAAAAATTAAGATAACCTTCACGTAACCTTCAAATGACTCTTCAAGGTCAAATCAATGATACCATCTTATGGTCCCCTCGAAACCATACAAAACGTTTCTGAACCATTTTTCTCTAAAATCAAAAATAAGAGACATATTTGGGGTGGACACTTAAAATGGAACACTCTGTATATATAACAATTGGGCTGAAAAGTTCGTAGGCTAACACATAGATGGCGCTACTAGAATAAATCTATAAGATGTTTAGTTAGTACCAACCTTCTAAAGAAATGTGTATAAATTTCACAGGTGTCGGACAATTGGTTCGTGAGATATAACATTGTGAGTGAAGAGACTTTTGTTATTGTGAAAAAATGGATAAAAAAGAATTTCGTGTGTTGATGAAGCATTGCTTTTCGGCGAAAAAAATACTGTTGAAGCCAAGGCTTGATAAACATTATTCGGACTCTGCACCAGGAAAACCAACCGTTGAGAAGTGGTTTGCTAAATTTAAACGAGGTGAAATGAGCATCGAAGACGATGCACGCAGTGGACGACCGAAAGAGGCTGTTACTGACGAAAACATCAAAAAAGTCCACAAAATAATTTTGAATGATCGTAGAGTGAAGTTGATCGACATAGCTGAGACTCTAAAGATATCAAAGGAACGTGTTGGACATATTGTGCATGAATATTTGAACATGCGAAAGCTGTGTGCAAAGTGGGTGCCGCGCGTGCTCACAATCGATCAAAAGCAACAACATTTTGATGATTCGGAGCAATGTTTAGCGATATTCAACCGTAATAAAGACGAATTTTTCCGTCGATATATTACAATGGATGAAACATGGCTCCATCATTACACTCCAGAGTCCAATCGACAGTCAGCCGAGTGGACTGAACGCGATGAACCGAAGCCAAAGCGTGGAAAGAAGCAACAGTCGGCTGGCAAGGTTATGGCATCAGTATTCTGGGATGCGCGTGGTATTATATTCATTGATTACCTCGAAAAGGGCCAGACCATCAACAGCGAGTATTACATTGTAACGAGGAGTTTTACCCCCGTTACCATCGTGTGACGGCGACCACCGATCGTCACACGATCGCGAGAAATCATCGCTAAGCGCCCGGCAACACCTATCCCGCGGCAACCCGCCAGACCGCCGGAAAAAGCCGAATTCTGCGAAGCGGTCGGGGAAGATCGGTCCCCCCAGAAAGGGGTAATTCGCGGAAATCGCATGCGCGACTTTCCGGGAAATCGGGGGGAACTAATCCCCCGATTATCGGCTACCGATCGTCGAGAGGAATTTAGGGTATAAAACCCGCTCTCGACGAGAGATCGAGGCAGACCGTGAGAGACAGTGAGTCCACCAGATCAGCTACCAAAGAGAGCTCCAGCGAGAATTGGGAAGAGAAGTCGACGAGAAGGCAAGGCATCCGCCGGTGAGTAAAGCTTCCACACCGTACCGAACCACCGGGAACTTTTACAAGACCCGGCAGCCGAGCCTCGTCGGCCGATCAGGCATCGCGACTTTACCGTACTTGTCCGTCTGTGTCGGCAGCAGTTAGCCACCGGCACAGAATATCTCTAAGTCTCCATTCGCGAATTTACCGTATTCGTCCGTCTGTGTCGGCAGCAGTTAGCCACCGACACAGAATATTTCTAAGTATCTGTTTCCGACTAGACGGCAGCAGTTAGCCGCCGTTCCGCGATTCATAAGTGCTCGTCCGTCTGTGTCGGCAGCAGTTAGCCACCGGCACAGAATAATTCTAAGTATCTGTTCGCGAGATTACCGTATTCGTCCGTCTGTGTCGGCAGCAGTTAGCCACCGACACAGAATATTTCTAAGTATCTGTTTCCGACTAAACGGCAGCAGTTAGCCGCCGTTCCGCGATTCATAAGTGCTCGTCCGTCTGTGTCGGCAGCAGTTAGCCACCGGCACAGAATAATTCTAAGTATCTGTTCGCGAGATTACCGTATTCGTCCGTCTGTGTCGGCAGCAGTTAGCCACCGGCACAGAATATTTCTAAGTATCCGTTCGCGAATTTACCGTATTCGTCCGTCTGTGTCGGCAGCAGTTAGCCACCGACACAGAATATTTCTAAGTATCCGTTCGCGAATTTACCGTATTCGTCCGTCTGTGTCGGCAGCAGTTAGCCACCAACACAGAATAACTCTAAGTATCTGTTCGCGAGATTACCGTATTCGTCCGTCTGTGTCGGCAGCAGTTAGCCACCGGCACAGGATATTTCTAAAGCATCGGTTCACGGAATTATCAGTGCTTGTCCGACTTTGTGACCGTGGTACGCTGCCCGGAATAAATCACCTCCCGTTTATCCAAAGAACAGCTGGCGTAAGTCGCCCTCAACAGGACTCTTGACCGAGGACGTCGGACCGCCAAGAGGCCGCGGAACCTCCCCTCTGATCCCGCGGATAGGGGACTATCCTTGCGGCTACGCAGGAAGCACGGGCACTAAGGAACGGACATCGCCGACGCCACACCGGGCCAGCGAGCCGCCCACATACACTTATATATATATCTATTATATAGCATCGAACGTCTTTTAAATAAACGGGGCGCCTTGCGGGACGCACCCAACTTGTTAATACAGAAACGCTGAACACACATTTCTTCCGAGAAGCTACTTTGAATTAGCCCGAGTACGCACCGACGCGGCGGCGAGCGAGGCGTCGCGGAAGCGGCGAGCCGGGTGCGACGGTGGGGCGACTGATCGCACCGAACCCCGCGGGCGTTACCGTTACATGGCGATCCTGCTAGGATCGGTCAGCTAGGGTGAAGAAAAAGGAAGAAAAAAAAACACAGCGAAGAAAATGCCGAAGGCGTGGATACAAGAGCTACGCAAACCCGAGATCACCCGAATTCTCGGGGAACACGGGCTCGAGATAGAGGGGTCGATCGACGACCTGTGCCACCGACTGCGAAGGTTCGTGGACGACCATCCCTCAATGTTCGAGGCCGGGCCACGGAGACGGGTCATCCCGGCCCCAGTGTTGGCGGATGAAGAGTCCTCCCGAGGGGGCTCTGTTATAGGGATAGATTCCCCCGTAAGGATCCCCACCGATGCGCAGGCCATGCTGTGCGTCCACAAGTGGGACTGTCGTTTCTCCGGGAAGGACCCGCTGGACTTCCTGGAGCGAGTGGACGAGCTCCGGACATGTTTTGGAGTCACGACCGCCCAGCTGTTGTGGTGCATTCCAGAACTCCTGCGCGGAGATCCGCTGCGCTGGTACCGAAACCACCGGGCCGCCTGGACAACATGGGAGGACTTCTGTGCCGCTTTCCGGAATCACTTCCTTCCGCCGAGATACTGAGCGCAACTGCGGCGGAAAATATTGGAGCGCCGCCAGCGCGCCGGGGAGGCATACCGTGAGTACGAGACCGCCATGCTCACGATGATGCGCCGTAGCGGGGATGACGACTACCTGGACAACGCAATACCGCTACTCTATGACAACCTAGATGTCGGCTACAAAATGTTCATAGGCGCACACGAGATCCGAGATGTAGCCCACTTGGGACAACTAGCCCGCCAGTACGAGGATATCGTCCAGCAACGCGAGGAACAGGGGCGACCGATACGAACCACCGGCCCTACGGTCGCTGCTCTTCTGTACGACCGTGAAACGTATTGCTGGAAGTGCAAACAGCCGGGACATCATCGCCGAGCCTGCCGATAACCAGCCGTAAAGTTCTGCTCACGCTGCGGCAAGGACGGCGTATTAACCCGCCAATGTCATCCCACGGCGGGAAACGAGTCCGCGGCCGGGAGTGGCGCCGCCACGACCCGGCCCTCCGTATAAAATATCAGCCAAGACCGTACCTGACCATCCGGTACCAGCAACGCCCATTAAGGGCACTAATTGACTCTGGAGCCGAAACGTCCTTAATCGATATTCGATCACTACGAGACGAAGATCTCCCACGAGGGGAAGCCGGCCGGATCACGCTGGCAGATGGGACCGGCAGTCCGACATACGGTCGGACTTGTCTCCACGTAGAGGTGGGACGGCAGAAGTACCGCCACCAATTTACCGTGATAGCCAACCTGACCGCGGAAGTCATCATCGGGGTTGACCTCTGGGTCCGGCTCCAGATTGCGCTGCCGCCGCCCCCGAGGAACTTCCGGCGATTACAACCACCCCGAGTGGGGATCATAGATGGGGGCCTAACGACCAGGACGGACGAAGAGGAAGCCAGATTCAACAAATTCCTGACGAGCGAACTGGCTCTCTTCGATAAAGTCTCCGGGCCGACCCCATCGATCCGCCACCAGATTCGGGTGTGCCCCGGCACGAGCCCCATCAAGCAGCGCTACCGACCACGGAACCCGGCTATGCAAGCCATCATTGATGAGGAGGTCGCAAAGATGGAGGCGGAGGGAGTGATTGAGCCCTCATCTAGTGCCTGGAGCTCCCCCGTCGTCCTCGTCCGGAAAAAGGACGGCGGATACCGCTTCTGTATAGACTTCCGGAAGGTGAACGAGGTAACCGAGCGAGACGCCTACCCGCTACCGCAGATAAGTGCGACTTTGGACCGACTACGCGGGGCCCGCTACCTATCCTCGTTAGACTTGAAGAACGGGTATTGGCAAGTTCCATTGACCGAGGACAGCAAGCCAATCACTGCGTTCACCGTGCCCGGCCGGGGTCTCCGCCAGTTCACCGTCCTCCCGTTCGGCCTGCACTCCTCGCCGGCAACCTTCCAGAGGTTGGTGGACACCGTGTTGGGCGCTGACCTGGAACCGCACGTATTAGTGTATCTCGATGATATTATTGTGTTAAGTACTACACTGGACGAACATATGAAACACTTACGAGAGGTATTCCGGCGGTTGCGGGAAGCTCGATTACGCCTCAACACGGAGAAGTGCCACTTCTGTAGAAGCGAGCTGCGCTACCTCGGACACTTGGTCACTCGCGACGGCATACACACCGACCCGGCCAAGGTAATCGCCATTACCGCCTGGCCAGCTCCGAGGACGGTGAGGCAAGTCCGCCAGTTTTTAGGCCTCGCCTCCTGGTACCGGAGGTTCGTCAAGAATTTTTCCGCGATTGCGGCACCGCTGACGGAGTTAACCAAGAAGAAAGTGAGATGGAAATGGGGATCAAGGGAGGAAGAGGCCTTTGAACAACTGAAAAAGGCTCTTACCACGGCCTCAGTGCTCGCATGTCCAGATTTCCAGAAACCATTCTCGTTGCAGACGGACGCCAGTCAGCACAGCCTGGGAGCAGTGCTAACTCAGAACCTGGAGGAAGGCGAGCGCGTAATCGCCTATGCTAGCCGGACTCTCAACTAGGCGGAGAAAAACTATAGCGCTACCGAGCTAGAATGCCTGGCTATTGTGTGGGGCATTCGTCAATTGCGCGAGTATTTGGAGGGATACACTTTCACCGTGGTGACCGACCATCAATCCTTGAAGTGGCTGCAGAAACTGGAAACCGCCACCGGCCGGCTAGGGCGGTGGAAGTTTGAACTACAGCAGTACACCTTCAATGTAGCATACCGGAAAGGCTCGCAAAATCGCGTAGCAGACGCGCTGTCGCGCGACCTCGCAGTCTGCGAAATCAGGGAAGCCACCGGATGCTCGTGGTACGAGCCGCTCAAAAAACAAGTCGCCGCTCGGCCTCACGATTTTCCCGATTACACCATTCGGGATGGTGTCCTGCACCGACACTTCCTCCACACGTTGGACTTCCGCGAAGTACCCGCGGAGAATCAGTGGAAGAAGTGTGTTCCGACCAACGATAGAAGGGAAGTATTGAAATGCTACCACGACAATCCCGCCGCAGGCCACCTAGGAATCGCTAAAACGATTGCTCGACTCGCCGAGCAGTACTATTGGCCGGGGATGGCTCGAGACGTCGCTGGGTACGTCCGAAACTGCCAAAAATGTTAAGCCTACAAGGCTAATCAACGGAAGATGGCCGGCCTCCTCCACGCCACCGCATCACATCGGCCGTGGGAGCATGTCTCAATCGACCTGATCGGGCCGCTGCCCCGATCACGACGAGGATTCACCTGGCTGCTGACTATGCAGGATCGTTTTACGAAGTGGC